TTACTAAAAATTATGATTTATTTATGTATAAACAATTGTGCCATAAATTGTTAATGGTTTAATAGAAAGGCGAATATTTTTTTGTTTTTATATGAAGCATTTATAAATTTGTAAAAACATTTATGAATGTATATATATATATATATATATATATATATATATATATTAGGGTGGTCCTTAATATGGACATTTTCGAATATAATTTTAAAAATAGACTTTACTGTATTACATTAAAATATTGATTATAGACCTGCCTTCGGGCAGACTACCATTTATTATTATTATTATTGATTATATATATCATATCATTCTGATTTGATAATCGTACGATTAATCTATTTCTCGCGAATTCCGAGATTTATATGTATATAATATACGGCATCCGAGTAGAAAGGGTTAAAAGGCACACCAAATAAGCCTGTAACTATTTTTAATATCCTAGTACTAACTATTAGTCTAAAATAAACTGTAATTCAATATACCATTAATAAAATTATTTTCGAGACTAATACAATTATTCTGTGATGATATAATCTAACGGACTTGCATGTTTTCTTGAAATTTCACCATAATAAATTTATGAATCACATGAAATATAAAATGTACGCAATTTCTATTGCGTATGAAGGAATATTACATATAATGTTACATATCACACATCACAAGTCGAAAATAATAATTATCGGAGAAAACTGATGAATTTCTATTTTAATTCGAAATATTTTCTTATGGCAAACATTTAGAGTTATGACTAATGAAAATGGTTGTCTCTTTTAGATGGAAAATTAAATGACAGGGACAGATGATAAATTTCAGAAAAATAGTAAAATAAACATATTTCTTTAATTAGGATTTAGGAAGGAATTCTACTGAACATGGTTCGATGGTTGTTGTTGTTTGATACGACAGTTATGGTGTATAATTACTGAAAGACAACTTGGACCTTTATGCCTCGTCCTACCCTATTAAATTGTATTATATTTAATTTATATCATCAGTGTTTGAGCCACTATCTAACACAAACATCCTGAAATAATAATAGCTTTTTCTTAAGCTCTTTGTTTACTCTGCATAATTTTAAACAAAAATATTGTCTGATTAAAACCGATGAGTAACACCGATGTTTCATAACAATGAAGGTTTCTAAATCGCTTTTGTATAATTTATTTCTTGTTAAGCTAATGTTTAATAATAAACAAGCATATAACAAAACATGTGAAATTGATTTATTTTTAAAAATAGTACACGACAGTAATTAATTCTAAATTTATTTTATGCATATGACATACGAGTAGACCGATTATAAGTCAATTAATAATTAAACGTTTGGAGTAATGGGTAGTTGATAATGAAAGATAAAAAATAATATGGAAAATGGTTATTTACATATTTTCAACTATTTTTTATGAATAATTAAATATTTTAGTGAAAAAACTTTAAAATATCTTCAGCATATGCACCCGAAAACTTTGTAAATTTTGAATATTTTGTATTTCTACCAATAACTTTTTTTCTAATAAAAAATAATAATCTATTTCTATATATTATGTGAAGCAAAAATATAAATAAACTAAAATATTTTTTTAATGAACCATGTATTAAATAAATGAAAATTGTTACTTAAAATTAAAAGTTGTGTTACTCCTTAATATAGACATAATATAGATTATAGACTGCGAATTTTAAATAAAAAAATCAAAGATGTCCGGTGTAAAAATTATTTAAATAGCCATGAGCATTTAGGATTCAATTCCGGTATAATTTTATATATTTCGTGAATTTGACTAAATTTCAAGTCAATAATTAGTTTTGGATATAGGTATATTGAAAAAAGTATGTATCGAATTGAAAAAAATGAGCTAAAATGTATTTTTATAAATCCTTTTATTAGTATATATTTCAAGATTTGATATATTCGTTATAATATGTTATATTTTTCTAAAATATTCAGGATGCTCATAGTAATCAAAAATGAGTAGGTACGTTAGACATTAAAGTGAAATTGTGTTTAGATTAATAAAAAGAGAATACAATACAAAAATGTAATCTCTACATATACAAAATCATTTTTGTTCTGAAAAATAATAATAATTCATTTAAAAAATATGTCTGAAATGTTTGTATTTTAGTGAAAAGGTATTAATTAGAATAAAAATTAGGATTATTCAAACATTCCAAATAAGCAGACGGATTATAGCAAAAAATCATTAAGGTACATCTCTATTCTGTCTCTATGAAGCAATTCAAGAAATTTTACCTAAGAAACCATAACAATAATTCAAAAATACTTTATATATTTCGCGAATATTTAAACTTGATGCTCATAGTAGACTTCATTGTTAGACAATTAACTAAAATTATTTATAAATTAATAAAAGTAGAACAACAGAAAAAATTCAAGTCCCTACAAAATATTTTCTTTTCTAAAAAATGACTGAATTTTTTGTATTTGAGTGGAAAGATATTAATTAAAAGTAAGATTATTCAAACATTCCAAATAAATAGATGAATTATGCCCAAAGATCATTGGGGCACATCTTTATCCTGTCTCTATATATGAATCATTTTAAAAAACTTTACTAAAGAAACCATTGCTCGGAAGTAAATTTCAAGCCAGCGAAATTGTCAATCATATATTTTCTTTATATAAATATATATAAATAAACTTATGAGAATATCAACATACAAGAATCTCATATTTGGGAAGTTGATGTTAAAAGTGAACCTCTTAAAATATTATAGGCCTAATAAAAATTACTTTGAATATAAATTATTCCAAATTCATATAAAAGCCAAAATTCAGGAATTAAGTAAGTAACAGATAAGATAGGAGTAATAAATAAGATAGTTCAATTTTATTTTTAACTGTTACATAACATTCATTCATTTATAACTGTATAATTAATTATGTATGTATCAAATAAGTAGTATAAGCTTGCGTATTTATTATATCGTGTATAAAATTGCTTTAGATTTTGATACCCAAACAACTTGATTATGAAGCATGACGATATGTATATATATATATTATATCTAATTAATCTGTATTGACCATTGTTAATTAATGTTAATCAGTATTTTAAAAAACATTGTATTTGACAGAATAAACCTGATGATGGAACGTACCTAGTTCCGAAACGTCGTATTAAACATCTTCAAAAAACAAATTGTTTTTTATTATTGGATTTACTGTTCGGAAAAGAAACAATCAATATATTGAAAAAATCCAGGACTTATCTATTGAATATATATATATATATATATATATATATATATAAACACACATTTTATATATATAAAAGTACATATTTATACTTATACGTATATGGACGTCGTTAAATCGTTAAGAAATTAATTAAGTGTATCGCTCTGTTGATTCAGTGGGCATAACTTTTATCTTTATAAAATATCTCTCGATAAAAATATAAAAATTTCTTTTTTTAGATCGGATTTCCCCTCAAACGATTGCATTACGCTAATAACAATTTTTAAGTATTTTTGTACTTATATATAATTTCACATACTAGGGAATAATAGTTGCAGAACATAGTTTTATATTAAAAATGTTGTAATATATATTGTAACAATTATATAATTGCATATTAATTTCATAATTCTGTATATTGCATAGTATAAGACCAAAATAAGAATGTGAATAAAAATGTGATAAATAAAACGTTGAAAATAAAAATAAAATACAAAGTGTAGATACTTTTTACAAAAATAGTAAAATCAGATTTATACAAAAATACGATAATGTTAATGCAGGGCGCTGACTCAATGCAATAATGTAAACTTGTTCGAACGAACATACTTCATCTTTCTCCCTTTGGACCCTATGTCAAAATCAGTATAGTTTAGCTGTTATGGCGACTGTCATTACCGTACTCTGGCACAACCGTACCCAGTCTCCCCTACTTTAAATAATAATATTCGTAATAATACACCAAACAAATGCAATAGAACATATTTATATTTTTGGGTACGTTTTATTTTGTGCATGATAAAAATGCATACAATTAAAATAAACAGCGATAAATAAAATATAAGAATATAAACAAAAATTAGTGGGGTGCATGGCATCGTGCCTTAAGGCAAATTGCTGGAACTTCCCGTACAGTTATTAAAAATTTTGGTACGAAACCCAAAAAAAATTACATAAAATGTGTACACATTATTAAAATCTCTATAAAATATCTGATAATTTGATGTACATATGTCCAATAAACATTTTTGACCGCCAAATGACATTTTTTAACTTATTTTTATTGAGAGTGCAGACTCGTTGGACCTGCCTTCCCAAAAATTTTACCAATTGTTCATTTCGTCAATACAAAACGTTCTCCGTTCTCTTAAAAACTGATTTATCGTTTTTGGCACTTTTGCTCCGTATCTTCGGAACGACTAGACCTGCCTTTGTCAAAACTGATCAGCATGTCTCCTTATCAATACGAATCGAATGTTTTTTGAATTATTCAAATCGGTTGATCGGTATTCCCGAAATCGTCGACAAAATTTTGTATCCACACACACACACAGACACATACATCCATTTTTTCTAAGGTACGCCAAAATATTCAGAAACGTTTGAAACGTAAAGATATATAAAAATTTTCATTTTTGATTTTTTGGGATTACTATAACTTGCCCTACAGGAAGTTAAAAATATGCGGTAAATAAAATAATAGAAAAAAATCAAAATATAAGTACTTTAAAAACTAATATTATATAAAAAAATTCCGAACGGGTATTTTCAGCAAAAGAACACTTTTGCCGAAATTACTATTACTAATGAAGAACACCCTCAATACAATTTAAAATTACCAAACATTCTCACAAATCAAGAAATAAGTTTGATTCATTTTTGTCATACAAATATTCCATAAGCGTTTTAAAAACAAAACATCAAATTTCGTAGATTAAAAATTTTGCAACATTTAATAAAAATAATAAGATATGAAAATAATCTTAAAAAATATATATAAAATAATTGTGCTTACCTTAAAAAATAAAGTGCGCATAATAACTGATCCAAATAATAAAAACAAATCAATCAATCAACAAGTCAATCGTGGAATTATCTAAAAATAAAAAATAGAAAAAAATTAAAATAAATTCTAATATTATAAAATATATCCTTTTCATAGCATAAACAGAAATTAAATTAAAGCTATTATTTATATTTTCAACAATATATTATATAACTGCATAATAAAATAACATACAAGTCTAAAATTAAACTAAATCGATTTATCCTCATTTAATAATAAATGATATAATATTATGTTTATATTGCACTCTTTTAAATATTAAAATTTCAACGTTAGTTATAATTTGAAGATACAGTAATAAAATACAAAATATTATTGAATTGATTGTCACAAATTATTTGCATCCAAATGCAAGAACAACCTTATTTTATAAACTTTAATTTTAAAATTACATGCACATATTTCTAATTCTTACTGAAACTAAAATGCTGAAAAAAATTTAGCATTTAAACAATTAATATTTTTAAATCTCCTAAATTTTGAATAATATTTTACCGATCATAATAATTAAAAAAATACTTGTTCTATTTATATAGATATTCAAATCTGATACCTACCAAAGCATTATTTTTCCATGAGTGCATGATTTTCTAGAATTTCCTTCTGTCATTATCGGATAACACTAGTAATTATTTATATGAATGATTATTAAATTTGTCACGTGCATTAATTTACACTAGCTATATATAATATATAATTATATGTATGTGTAAATATAATATTTTTTTGCAAAGTTTTCTATTTCAATTGCACCAACACCATGAAGTAGGTTACGACGGCTCCCAGAACCTAAAAAAGTTTCAGATATGTCAATGGAAGAATAATTACCTTTATAGTTATCATAATGATATCTTTGCACAAATAATTAGTTTAATTGTTTCATCATTGAAATTTCGTAACGAATTTATAAATATTAAGAAATAAAATGCGACGGATTTGAAAAATATTAGTTTTGATAATTTTTAATAAATCAATTTTTTAATATTTAATATCAATTTAAATTAATTTCATTTAATATTTGTATATATACAGTAAAATAGGGTAAAATCCCACTTAGGTAAAATCCCACTTAGGGATGATGGAACGTCCATAGTTCCGAAACGTCGGCAAAAATTATATTTGAAAAATAATAGTTCGTTTCTTATTTTTATTTGAATTTCAGATTCAAAACATAATGTAATATGTAATGAAAAAAGATAAAGAGAAGATTAAAACCAAATTAGGATAAATTTTAAAACCAATCTAGAGATAATATGATAAAACGAGAAAAAAAACTAAGTTGGCCTCATGTAGGAAAAAAGTAAAAACTTCTTAAAAAGGTAGAAAGATAAAAAAACTAGGAATTGAAAACAAAAAAATACAGAGGATTGAAAGCCAAGGTACAAGGCAACTAAGTAAAAGTGAACTATAAACAAGAAAAATAAATTGACAATAAAAATTGAGCATTGATCTCTTCTAATAGCACATATATTGATAAGTAAGGAATAAAATATTAGAAATCATAATGTCAAACTTTAGCTAATTAAAAAACTTAAAAATTACAATAAAAGTATCAATATACTTTAAAGTTTAAAATAATTGCAAAAGTCAACATTTTTAAGTTATATAAACTAAATAGTCTATATTATATTTTAAAATCTGTTGGAGAAGTAATTAATTATGTATTTTTTTTTATCTAATTTTGGTATCCATATTAATTTAGAACCAATATAGAAATTTTGCCAAAATATTGAATTAGAAACAACAGTATAATTGGATTGTTTGAGTAAACTTTTTGAAAAACAAAAATTTTTGATTTTCAAAAGTTAAAACAACTAATTGTGTATGGCATTATGCCTTAAGGCAAATTGGTGGTACTTCCCGTACCTTAATAAAATATTCGAGTAATATTAAATGTTTTCAATAGATTACATAAGTGATGTTTAGATCTTTATTTATTATTAGAATTAAAATATAAATTCTTTTTCGATATTCAAAAATTTTTTTTTTAACTAAGGTATGCCAAAATGTTCAGAAATCTCTGAAATGTGAAGATATGCAAAAATTTTCATTACTATAACTTACCCCACGGAAAGTTAAAAATATATTTTCGTTAATATAACTATTTGATTCCCTAATCCAGTGGTCGGGAAACCGAGGTAAATTATTCCAAATGGGGTAAAAATGGAATTTTTGGGGGTAAAAAGTATGTATTTTTCATTGATATGTTCTGTACTCGCTACATAGTTCTCTGTATGAGGATAATCTTTCTTTACCACGGGGATAATATCAACTTAGACAAAAACATTTTGGATAATGATAAAAAATTAACATTTTTTATCCCGACCGCTGTTCTATACAAAGCTCTTTCAAGATCTTTTAGACCAATGGCCGGGAAACCAGTGTAAATCACCTCAAATGAGGTACAAATAAAATTTTTGAGGGTAAAAAGTTAGTATTTTTAATCGATATTTACTGCATTTATATCGATATCGATATTTTTGGGTAATGATTCAAAAAGTTTCCCGACCGCTCCCTAATTTAAAGATCCATGGTAGTTTCAGAAAGATTTCAAATTACAATCTGTTTTTAATAGGTGAATTGACACGATTATATACAAAAAAATCACATGAGCCATGGTAACTTTGTTGAATAATTTAGTTAAAAATGTATAGAGAAAAGTTAATGTATCGAAGAGAATTTTTCCTGGAATTTTTTTCTCAAAAGCAAAGAAATTGTTGAATTTTGTTCCTGATACGCCAGCCAAGCGCCGGACATCTGTGATTAACGTGGCCTTATGCCAAATCACGAATGTCAGGCATATATGTCTGACATGGCTCTTGTAGAACTTCTAAGGGCCAGGCACATATGAATAACAGGGATTTCATTTAAATTATATGAAAATATATATATATATATATATACATATAAATTTTGAACACTTACCGATGCAAACAAATCAAGGGAAACCGTGAAGAATTTTGCGCCTGATATAGTCATCGCCTTCTGGCATTGCTGACAGACAATTTGCACGAACGTCTTTGCTTCTTCGGAACCATCGTACCAGTGGCAGGAGTATGCGGCTTCCATGACGGAAGAACTCTGAAATAAACAAAAAAAATTTAAACAAAAATAAAAAAATACGCTATTGGGGGTACGGTGGACCCGAATAGATAAGAGCCTAGCCCTGCAACGACGTTCACTATGTGTAGTCGAAAGTTGATGATAAGTCAGGCTTTTTAGATAAAAAGAATGTTATCAAAGTACATCTTTGTGATGTGTCATAATGTATGATAATGTCATGTAAAATGCCTGACTGTACAGCAAATACATAGCACATTGACAGTTTTTAGTACCATTTTATATTAAAAACGCTATGTAAATTAGTCTTGCCATAACATTAGTCTATTTTACGACAGAATCGGTCCCTATATTTCAAAGAACAAAATACATCAAAGTAATGAAACTATTATACTACCTCTTCAATCAATCTATTTCCAAAAACGCAGAACAAAAACACTTGTGCAAGAGAATAGACCAAATATCCAATGACGCCAAAAGCAAAAACGTTTAATCTGTCAATTTTGGTTGCTTGATATGCCAAAAGGGTCAATGTGATCGTAGATGTCAACATGTGCAAAAGTAAGGCTCCACCATAGGTGTCACCAATTCCTGCCACCAATCTGAAAATAAACAAAATAATAATATATCAATGAGTTATAATAAAAAAAATATTATTTCATGATCATTTGTGTTTTGAAGCATGGGATATTAAAATTACGATGATTATTAATTTTTTGTAAATAGAGCAATTGTAATAGTGAAAAATCAAAAATCATCAGTTCGAAGTTGTTTTTTCAAAGATCTGCTATTTAATTATAAATCATTTTAAAAAATGCAATAAAAAAGAATACATTAAATTGTGTTTTAAGTAGAGACTTCCATTCAACTTTTAAAATTTTAGTTAAGTAGTAACAGTTTTCCTCAAATTGTCTTTGCGATTGATGCTATTACAAGTACACTAAGAATTTTGAGAACAACTTAAGTTTCTAAAGGTCATCTCGTATAATCAAAATTAAAAAATAAAAACCATTGGGTTCCTTCTAGCAAAAATATAGCAAAGACAGAAACAGGCAACTATTAGATTACCTTCTATATTAAAAATAAAATAGATATGAAATGAAGCCATTAGTAAAAATATTCGTCACAACAGCTTTTTAGAGTCAACAACATTATTGAGTATTGAGGTTAAAAAAAAGTCATTTTCATATTGAATTAATAACCAAAACTTGACGATAACTGTTTAATTCCAATAGTGTTTTTTTTTCTTAATTTTATTTAAACAGGATTATTCAACAGATCGTATTTAAATAAATATTCATTGATAGCAATTTCTGAGAACTTGCTATGTTTGTAATAATTTTCTTATAGGTATTTTTATTGTTATTATTATAAGTATTAAATATTTTCAAAATTAATACATTTTATAAAAATAATTTATTCTTTTCTTATTAAATGTATCCATTAATATAAGGAACCTGATAAAGAAAAGAACCCAATTCCAAAAACGTGATACAATATGCCGTAATTGATAATTAATATTTTGATAAATAATCCTTTAATAAAAAATCGATATTTTTGAAAAACTATGTCAAGTACACGTGCACTAAGGTATGTACGTACTTGAACTAATAATCTTGATATTAATGAATTCAAAATGACGTTTTGTTCATTAATTGGCTTGTGTTATATGCTTGAAATATTTATCCGATACATTTATTGAGACATGTGCCAGAGATCCCATCATTATGGGAATCCGAGATACTTTTATAGGTTTAATAGAAAACGTCGTAGGGTATAGACACATACATACATACATACAAACTTATGTATACATACATAGATATATATGTATGTATGTATCTATCCATACTTATATATGTATGTATACATACATAAATATGTATGTGTGATTTTTTAAATAGAGTAATATCTATTGATTACAATATATTCGGCATATACTCAATAAAATAGTAAATAACACACATGACTAAATACTTTGAATACTCTTATATATAATAGATAGTCGTCTCAAGTTTAAAAATAACATATTCAGCACATGTCTATAAAATAGTCTAAAAAATTTATATTTTTATTTTATTGACCAATTTTAAAACTTTATTCAAGTATATGCATCTATACGGCCGTCTAATCGAGATGATGTACTATGAACAAAAAAAAATTCGTTATGTTTTAAAAAAAATCTTTTATGATTAAAATTACTATAATTTTACAAAAAATACTTTAGAAATGGTTCCATTTTGAGTATACGTATAATTGAGGTGACCAATTTTTTTTAAATCAAAACCGGGATGAAAAATTTTAGTTATGCTAATTAGGTTTGAAATAACAAATGCTAACTAACTATTTAAATATTAAAAAACTGTTTTTATATGAATCCACTTTTTGAAAAATATTAGCACTTGCTTGTTTGTTTTCATAATTTTTGTTGATTTATCTATTGACTTTCAAAAAACAATCCGAAACAAAAGATCTAAATCCGAGACTAATATTGCTTTTAGAAAAACCCGGGATACAAGGTGAAATCCAGGACGTATGATTACTTTAGTATAATATTTAATTTTAACTAAGCAATTCAATACTTAATTTTAGATTAATTGAGATACCATAATGAAGCAATAAATCAATATTTTGAACAACATTACATTAAAAACCTCCATAAAAAAAGATACAAAGCAAACATTAAATTTGCATAAAACACTTCAAAACATTATATGTAAAATGTAAAAGAAATGTTTAAAGATTTGCTATATAATTATTTGTTACACTGCAAAATCTAAGCATGTTGAACATAAATCTAAACTAAAATTTCTCGACTATTATGAAAATAGATAATAAGGTAAAAGACCCAGTTATTGACCCTGGCCCAGTTTCTGACCTTTTCAACTTTTTTTGGAATTAATTAAAAAACTATACATTTAATGTGAAAATAAATTTTTTCTTAATTGACAGTAATTTATTCTATGCCTCATTAATGTCAATTAAAAAAATATAAAAAATATTAACTAAATAAAAAAAAATTTTTAAACCAAAAGTGACTGTGGAAGCCATTTTTTAGCTTTAGTCTAAACAGTTTATGTTTAGACTTATGGAGCTACGACAATTGAGTTCGTGCACTAATAATGATGTAAGTACGAAAATCTAACTAAAAATATACAAATAAGTCAATAATTAATTAAAATTTATTTTAAAATATTTATAAAACATATTAAATTTAGTTTTATTACTAAAATTTGAGGGTCAATAACTAGGCTCAATTTTAAGTGTATGTCACAGTTGTTGACCCTGCAATTCTAACCTTCTAAAAGCTAGGTTATCTGTCACATGTTTTTAGTCACTTGTTCATTAAATGTAAAAATAATAATATTTATTGTTATCTTATATTTTTTTTACTATTTTTCGTAGTAAAGTGATAAATTTACATTTAATATTCATTGGTATAAATGAAAGATTGTATTTAAATCTTGTAAATACATCTTTTAAGTGATAAAATTATTAATAATTTGAAGAAACGAAAAGCTAAGGAAAAGGTACCGACAGTTTATACATCTGATTCGTGGTTAAAATATCATGACGACAAAAAAGCAAAAAAACGAAAATTAGAAGAAGAAAAAGAATTGAAAAAAGCTGAAAGGTCCAAAAATAAAGCCATCAAGGAGGCAAAAAAAATAATTAAAAAAGAAAAACTTGAAGAAAAAAAGAAACAAAAAGCTCTTAAAATAAAAAAAAATTCCAAGTAATTTAAATAATTAATTTTAATTTTTTTTGTTTGTGTAATATGTTATAACAAGACTTGAACTATTTATACGTTAAATTTTAACAAACTGTATATTTTTAGAATAAATATTTAATTTATTTATTTTAATAATAATTTCAGTTTATTTAAAATTAGTAAGCACTTCATAACCTAATCATGATTAAATTTGAGGGTCAAAAATTGGGCTACGGTCAGGGTCAGAAACTGCCACACGAAGAATTCTGAGGGTCAGAAACTGGAGCTCTTAATGTCAATTTCTAAAACGTCAATTTAAAATATAAATTTAGTTCAAATAATTTTTTTATGCACATTACTTTATTTTAAAAATCCTAAACTAATAGATAAAATTATAATTTTCTTCATTAAGTTAAGTTTTATATTAATTATTATAGTTTAACCTCCACCGTCACTCTAAAAAGGTCAGAAACTGGGCCCCTTACCTTATATCATTTTAAAGATTTTTGTTGTTTTATGATAAAACTAAAAAATATTAACCCTTTTCACTCGCTAATTCCCGAATTACTACGTATTTTGCCGCCGGGGCGACGGCATTCGAGTGGAAAGGGTTAATATAACTTTGATTTATCAATATTTTTAGGTAATAAAGTGAAAAAGTAATGAAAGTTCATTATTATATAATGTATTCATAGTCCATTAATAGAATGATTGCCAAAAAAAATTTGCATAAATTTTTTTTTCTAAAACTTCAACAAGTGAAAGGAATAATATCCTTCATAATAATTATTATAAATAGTATTAATTGATAAATAATTAATAAATCTATTTATATTCACAATATATTTTTTTAAATTATAGGTTCACTGTACATTATTTGGCGCAATACCGAAATGTTGAGTAAGTATAAGGTTCCTTATGAAAAGTTTTTTGATAAATAATTCACAATCAAAGTCCTCAAGAAATAATTTGTCATTGAACTATGATGAAAAGTAATTTATGCGACTGAACTAATTTCGTAGAAAAATCAATATCCTAATTATGATCGACTCAAATAATTCTGAACCAATTATATGATGTAATAAATGATATGTTATTAAACGATGACGATTTTCGCTATTTAATTATCTAATCGCAATCCCTAGTTAGTACCTCAATGCATTATATATTTAAGAAATAATATGAATATAGAAAGAATAAAAACCAAAATGTCCGTATCTAGTTTCTTCGAAAAGCTTCCCAATTTTTGAAATCGGTGCAACCGTTTCGAGAACACGTCGACGACATATCAAATTTTGACTCATATATACAAACAATTCAGAATGACTTAAACCATCGAGAGAATAATACATAAAATTAGTAAGTCAAATTTTCTCCTTAGAATTATTGATCTAAAATTTAAAAGTAATCTTAAATAAATATGCCATTTGAATTTTTTTATCTTACATGCATGACTTTAAAAATGAAGGAATACCATATATATGTTAGCTTATAAATTCAAACTTAGTTAATTATTTTTGGTTTTAATAACTGTTATATTATATATTTTTTGATTATTAATAAATGATAATTAAAATTTTTCGAATTATCAATATCATTATCATTTAGTATTAAGTGAAAAAAAAATTAGTATAATTTGTATTACAAATGTATAGTTCTATCAATATAAATATCATTTACCTGACAACATGCTTATGCCTTTCAACCCAGTATTTGATAGCTGATCGTACCATCATTTCTTGTTTTTTGGTTAAGCCATTTGGATTATTTGCACCTTGATTGAAATTTTGTAAAACTGAAGGACCTCTATAATGTGCCCCCCAATCTGCCTTCGAATTGTATATTGCAGCTGCATCAATATCTTTTACGTCGTTATCTTATGAAAAATAATAATTGAAAATTTAGTACATCAGTAAAATCAAAAATAAGTAAATATTTAAGCGAGTTGTGAGAAAAATTTTAATGTATCATTTGAACATGAAGGACATACTTATAAAAAATAAATAATATAAAATTGTTATAAAATTAACTTATTACAATACCTGTATGATAAATGATAAATTCAAGACAAAATAGTGATTTTATATCATAGTCATAATATACATAAAATGTACGAAACTTGCAAGAGCCAAGCTTGTTTTCAATTCTTGCAAAGTCACTGTACAACATAAAATTTAAAATTCAAAGTAATTTTCTTTACCATCATTTGGTATCAATTCAGTTTGACTATTTGCACTAGTAGTCCTGAACAATGCAGCAGAATCTGGTCTATAAGTGTCCAGGACAGATGACAGCTCCATCAAAGGCCTCATGATTCCTTTCAGATGTTGCAATTGCTCACAAGCAAATATCAACCAGGAACAAAATAGTACGTCTAGTAAATTACTTTGCAGGAGCGAAAATGTGAGGTAATATAACTGTAATAGAAAATAATTTTATTTTAAAACAAATCATCATTAATTACAATTATTATTATTAATTAGTTATAAATTCAGCAATTATACCTGTAATCCAAAGCTAATCATGTACATTGGTCCACTCATTGAAGGCCAAGGATACCAGGCTCTCAACATTAATCGTGGAACAGGTTCTGTCATAGTTTCATTTGTTTCCATGTCCATCACTGTACGAGTACTATCACCGAAGAAAGTAAGTGTTGTCCAAGCTGAAAATGAATAATAAAAGTCAAATATTATATTAATTGAATTTTAATTAAATTAAGCAATAAAGTTATTTAAAAAAATGTAGCAAAAATTGTGTAAGTACATTTACATTTATTCATAAAAAGTAAGTTTTTTTAGATAGATTTAAAACTGATCAACAAAGAAATTTAAAACTATTTTCAAATTAACGTAAGTGTATCAATCTATTACCAACTACCAATTGATCGTAATTTATTTCAAATATTTTATTTACTACTTACCAGCAACAGAAAGCAGTGATGTTATGACAACTGCAACTAAAAGTCGTCGCATTTTTGCTAACGCAATTGAATGATACCTAAAAAATTAATATTTTTACACAATTTCATACATAAAATTACAGAATCAAAATAAAAATATTAAATATAATAAAAATAATATGTATAATAAATAATACCTTGCATTTGACTCTGCAAATAATGGGTGACTGTTTGATTGGTTCCATATGCCCCATGTTCTACAAAAATAGTAAGAAATAGAAATTCATATAATACAAGTAGCTGATTTATTTATCCTAATAATTACTTTATCAAATATTATTTTATGTAATATTACCAGGTATTGGAAAAATTACACAAATTCTAATATATAAATATATTCTATTTATAATAACTATAATAATTTATAATGAAGTTTTGTTATAGATAAATGTTTCATCATATCCAACATATCAAAGTACTCAATTCATACCATGCTTATTGTTTCAATTTGCAATTCAAAAAAATATTTATTAGTTAAAAAATTAAATTATTATAGTTTAATTAGGTTCGACACTCATTTTGCACAAATGTTATATTACTTTGATACAATTATGTCTTCAGTCGAATATACTAATATATTTATACAATAGAATATATTATATGAATTAAATTTCACGCATATTTACTAAAAAATAACGTAGAAAAAGTATAAAGTGGTTCTAAAGTATAAATTCTTTGTATTTCTATATGTCCATTAAATTATAATTATTACCAATAGGACACTGCCTAAATAAAAAAGTACCAAATGGGGAAAATTGTTTCACATAACAACTATGACAAATTATAAATTTACTACTTGAAAGTGGCATTTAGCCATAAGGCAAGTTGCATAAACCTCTCGAAATGTGTAAGAATTGACTTAATTAATCGAAATTAAAATTTAGATATTTAGATAAAATTTTAAACTGTTCGTTTCAAAAATAAAGTTATCACTTATAATTAAATTTAAACATTGTATTGCGATTTCGAATAGAATTTTCTCAAAGACATTTACCTTATCTGTAAATATAATAATTATATTGCACAGGCACGTGCTAGTATGTCCTGAAATTGTAGCTTATTATTTTAAATTTTAATGAATTCATAATGTTTGACTCATCACATCACAAAAGCAACTTTTGACACAAATTTTGACTATAATATTTCCTCAAAAGTTTTAACAGTTAATTTCAAAAACTAATTTGTTTTACATTTGTCGGCCAAAAAATCTGATCACATACACCCACAAATTTGGTCTCATTCGATTCAAAATGGCTTGAAACGTCGAGAAAATATAAAATTAGCGAATTGGATTCTTTTGAAAACAAACTTCTCCTTAGGGAAGTTAATAATATCGATAAAAGTTTTGTTTAAGGTTTTATATTTATTTTATTCTCTGCATATTTTAGAACAATAGACATATAATAATAGCTATACATGAAAACTAATAAATCGTTCAATTATTAAATTGATTAAAAGCACGTTTATTAACAAAACTATTTAATAACACGATCTATAACCAAAAAATATAATTGTTACAATTATAAATTGGAAAGAAATGAAATACTTGTATATATACATATGTAGTAAAATATTCATCTAAAATATTTTTTTTATATTTGATATATTATTTTTATTATGAATTTTCATACAAAATATTCGCACATTCTTACTTTTCGATAATTTTCGTGATAGCTTTCACCATGATTTCACTAAATAATATCAAACGTACAAGATCGCTCCACCGCAAAATAAGCTCATGCTCAGAAAACTAAAAGCTCATATTATTGGAAAGTGATAATATTTGAGCATTTTATCTAGGTTTAAAAGCTCTTTATTTTAGTTTAAAAGTACGTGTAAATTTTTGACTAATGATACCATAATTGCAAAAGCTCTAACATTTGAAAAAAAGTATGATTTTCATCATCACTTTACAAAAAACTAAAAAATGGAATGTATTTTATAAGACGCATACATGCAATTGTATATATCTTTCACATAAAATCATAGAATTATAATTAACAGCACGAACGGAATGATTATTTCTGATATAGCAAAATGTTTCATAAAGTTAAAATTACTATGAAATTTTACTCACCTGTAAAAACTAGCACTATTGACTGCAAAATAAATATTTTTCGTGATCGGATGTAAGAAAAACAGTACGGTGATAGTATTAGCCGTCAGTTCTGCGACATCCCCGGTATGTGTTGCCAAATTTGCAAATAACGATCCATATTGCATGATCAATAAAAACAGATGTACTAAAGCATATGCTCTTCTAAGTTGAACTGTACTTTGATTACTATATCGAAACAGGAATAATCCAGCAAATTGCATAAGCCTGGCATTGGGCAAAAGATCGGCGACCAGTCCGGCATATTTGACCGTATCAGACATCTAAAAATAAAAAAATACACAATAGAAATAAATTTACACCACCTCTAAAAGCCAACAATCATTTGAACAATAATTTACCTTAAAAATTAACTATGAAAACAGAACACTTAAAAATTAAATGCGAGAATTAAAAAAGCGTCATCGCGCTAAATTAAAATTTATGATATTAAATGTGTTTTAAAAACACTTGATATTTTACTATAAAAACTATTTCTAATCTATTTCACTCGATTAAACAAATACACTCCGTATAAATACAAACAGAAACCAGAATGTCAAGTTTACACACTGTTAGAGAAATATAGAAAAGAAAATATTCGAGAAGTTTTCAACTTGAAAGCAAAACTTCAACTGATCGACTCTAAATATCATCATATCGGTAATGAATTTATGAATTCACATAATGGTCGTTAATATCAGAAACGAGGTTTTTATGTATGTATAAAGGACATAAATGGATAATTTACTAAGAGGCCTGGGAATTAGTTAAACAAAATGCATCTGTTCAATGCTGAGAAATGTGCTTCTAAGTAAACGGTGTCAGGTGGAGAAGAAACAGGGCTAAATTATAAAAAAATATCGAAATGGTAGAATTTGAATAAAAAAGGAACAAAAATCAACAGTAACAAAATTATACTGTATGAAGAATTTTCTATTCAGTTTGAATTTCGAGAGGTGTGCCAATATGGTAATTTGACACAAGACAATTGGAAACAAAAACGCCTGTATAAAATTGTTTATCCGAGCAAGAAAAATGCAAAAATCTCTCCCGTTTGATTTTATCATAATACGATCATTACAACCTTCACCAAACATCAAGAAAATACATATATTAGAATTTTTTCTAAGGAATATTTAAATAAAAATTTAAGTTTAAGCAGCATGAGAGAAACTCTTGCAAAATCTCATTGAAATATAAACCTGACAAAAACTTTAATTGTATTTTTTGTACCTATTGTGTATTTGATCATACATTTTAAGTGCTTATGTTTGCATTAACTAGATCAGTAAAAAAGTTATATACACATATATGTGTATATAACTTTTTTAACTTTTTTAACTTTTTTAACGAGAATTATAATATATATATATATATATATATATTATAATTCTCGTTTACATATAAACAACATCAAACAATATTTTCGTTATATTTTACATAGTTAGTGTAAAATTGTTAAAATTCTGTTAAAGCCAGAAATAAATCAATCTGCATTTAAGAAAATGTGCTTATTGAAAGATTCCATTTCGATCTGCTAATTTAGAAGTCGTAAATAAAAATCAGGTTTTGGAAAATTATGAAACTATTATAAAATGTGATGCATGATAACATGCAACAGTGATGTAAAATTGAATCTATCGTTTAGCCTCAAAATTTTCTAAATACCTTGAATTTTGATTATAATTTTTTTTAACTTTTTGGCTAATGGTCAAAAATTCATACGTATGGCGAGTATACTCGTCAATCACAGTTAACTAGTTAAAAAAATTTTACCAAATTTTCCAACGACCTAAATTTCTTCTCTATATTAGAGTGCTATTTCATCTCATTACAATTCTTCTTATGTGATTGCATTAAACTCTGATGTGTTTTTGTACAACAAAAACAATAAATTACATATATTTAGCAAACATGAAATAGAGACTCATTATAAATTCTGTTTCTGTCATTTTAATCCATAATTATTTTCATTTCCAACGCAATACGTCCCTATTTAAATAAACCACAATCCTCTATGCCCCATATAAGTTGTGGATTCATGCCAATGTCATTTAATACACGTGATTTCGTATAATCGAGCCATGTTCATCATTTAAATAATTGTTTCATTCATAAAATTATAATTGTCCTGACATATATTATATTTTATTGAACCCATTACAATAGAGAGAATAGAGAAATGCAAAATATATAAATAAAACTATTGGTTGTTTGATAGAAGATCGAACACACTCAATAATTTTTTTTTACAAAATTTAGGTATTAGATCGATTGCAAATTTGGACCACACAAAATGTTAATTACAAATAAAAATTTTATCGTTTTCTTAAACATGCATGGCTATAAACATATTCTTTTTATGAATTACCACAATATTCTTTTTTGCGTTTACTTTCATTAGTACTATATAGTAGTATTTATTTTTACTATATAGTATTTTTTTTTAAGTGGAAAAAGAAACTCTTCTATACTGTTACTTCAGATAAATCAATAAAAATGATAACTATAAAGATTAAACAAATTGCTTGAATAAATTGCTTGAATAAAAAAAATCTGGCTCAGCAGTCAAATTTGGAAATATCATAAATATTTTTTATTTGAACATTTGGGAATATCTGATAATTTTAAATGCGCGTCAAAAATTTTAAAATATAAGTTTCCAAAATTAATCCCAAGTGTCCATATTTTTAGAAAAACTTAAGATTGTAGATAATTTTTGTTATTCATACATTCTTTAATGTCAGTGTTGCATTAAACATCTTAATTGATTAACTTATTCTTTACTCGAATTTTTTTATTATTAAACTAACAATAGTATTTTATCAATTTATAATCCTGATTAAACGCGCCAACTTTTGATGGAACTTGCACACACACTTTAGTACATTTTGTTAAGGCAAAAAAGAACCTCTCAAAGTTGACCGATTGTTAAAGAAAATAAATTTATAGTTGAACAAAAAGTTTTAATTCTTGAAAACTTAGGACAATTTTGTCAATAATTTTGACTGTCGTTCTAGAAATGTTACTGACGATTCGAAAGTTTAAATGAACCAAAGTAATAAAATGACCAAATAACCAAATAACCAAACAATTGTCGCAATTGCATCAGAGCTCTAAGTTGCACTAAAAAGCTGATCATTTCCAAACTTGATCTTTTTTTCAGGACAGTTACAGACAAAATTATCAATCTGTGTCAATTTGACGTTGATTTCTGGGACACCTAGTATAAATAGTATTTAATTTGCCTATGTTTATACAGAAAACAGTAAGACGTAAGTTTCAAGCAATGCTTTGAAAATATATTTTTTAGAGAAAAAATATATTTTTTTAGAGATATAACAATAATTTTGGAAACCATAAAACTTGGAACAATTTATATAAACTGACAATTTTTTTCCAAAAATTATTTTTCCAATCATTCCACGTTGATATATGTATATAGCACTACAACAATTTGAAAATAAAATAATTTTGATTTTACATTTTACATCATGTCTATGGCAGTTTCTTAACTTTAATTCATACGGATTTAATTGTATACCAATAAATATAATTCTATATGTATGTGATACTGTATATTAGTTTTGAGTACATATTTTATTATATTTTAAAAAAAAGTTTTTATAATAGAAAAGTTCTCACACTACCAAAAGTAATAATATGATCTCGAACACATACTATGTTCCAATGTATGTTCCAACAGCTCTAATGTAACATATACTATGAATAATAATTTACAATGGGCAACAATGTGGTTATTATGTTTTTTAATACTAAATAGTAACAAGTGTTTATAAAAACATGATACATTTTCAATAATACCTATTCATAAATAGATATGCATAAATCAGTGATAAACTTCAGTAAATAAAATATTTACTATACCACGATTTTTTTTTATTAAACCTTCAGGGTATAAACCCTCTCTAGAACCGTCTTTTCCATTAATTCATCTATCTCCAATCCTACAAATCATTCAAATGCGACGTTCTACTTTCTTCCTTTGACACCCCATAAAATTATTCCTATGTCGCGTGACGGTCCTCGTCGACTCCGAATCATAATTTAGCAGCATTTTATCGCGATACAGAGATATTTACCGCAGTCAAGAAAAGTTTCTGAAGCAAAATAATATAAACGAAACATGCAGCAACTAAACAGCACGCTATCTGCACACGATTTGACGCAATTGACACCGTAGGTGAACGCCTGACTGACATTTCCAATTTCAACAACGCCTTGGAATGCAGAGATAATGGTACTCATATGGTTCAAATTGGGAATAGAAAATTTTATTTGAATAATAGCTGAAAGAAAACGAATATAGAATGAGATTTCACGAGAAAGTTTTCACATTTTAACATATATATGTGTTAACAGTTTCCTGTTCTTCTCCCAATCATACCAAATAGAGTTTTGAAGTAAAACTTCGTTAGGCGCGACTAGAGAGCAAATCTGTAAAAATGCAACGGAAGTAGCGTTACGCCCGAACTGTTCGTCATTCGCTCTCGATGAAATCATTTGTATACTCTTTTGCAATAGTGCATTTGTTAACTCGTCGGCCAATTTTTGGTCCAATATATTGTGAAATTCTTCAGTAAACTCTTTTTTTAAAATTCAGAAAAATCTTTAACTTTAACCAAACACTTTTACTTTCATTAAGTACACTTTAATAACTGTCAACTCCAATAATCTTACAAATTTTTATAGTAGTATAAATTTTTATTAGAAACTTTCGGTTTCTACTATAATACAGCAATAATAAATAGATAAGAGGAACTCATGAGGAAGTTTTCACATTTCTACATATGAATGTGTAGAACTCTTTCCAGTAAGGTATTCAGCCCAGTTTCCTATTCTTCTCCCAATCATACCAAATAAGAGTTTTTGTCTTTCAATCTCTTTCCAATACTTCATTTGGTCACTCGTCGGTCAATTATTTGTTCAATGCATTCTGAACTTCTTTATGAAACTCCTCTTTTAATATTCAGAAACATCTTCAACCAAACATATTTAACTTCATTAACTACACCTTAATAACCAATATATATTTTATTTTTTAAGACAATGCACTGGTCTTTATGCCTCCAAAATCGTAATAATAATAATCAAATTAAAGAAATAAATTAAATAAATATATAATTTCCTAAATGTTGCTAACACTCTCCCAGCAGTGGGTTATTAACCGTTACATTCAAATATTCAAATAATATATATATATAGTCTATTTATCGATTATGTTCTAGATATAAAATCCGTTTATGTGTATACGTATATG